CCCAACTGGTAGTGGGCATCGCTTGGGCTTGCTTGGGCAGTGGCAGGTTACCCTGTTTCCCACCTTTCGCTCTCCCTTGCATTCCCTCTACCATGCCGGTGTTCGGGGCAATTTGGTTGCTAGAAGAGGCAGACATTCGGGATTCCCTCGTGCTCTGCTTCTTTCTTTGCATCCTGGCCTACTGCTTCTCCTTGAGTATGGACATTTGTAGAGCAGCCTGAGCAGTGGTGGACAGAGTTTTCTCTGCCTTGCGTCCAACTTGGCTCCAGGAGTGTGCTTGTCCCCTCTTGGGGTGTATGTGTAGTTTGTGAGCCTTCCGGTTTCGCCACGCCGCCATTAAGACCAACTCACGAGAGGGTATATCGGTGTCTGTTTGTGACGAAGTTGTGAAGCTGTTAGTGTCCATGTTGTGTATGCAGGTGTGTTATTCGTCCAGTCTGCCTCCCACCCTTCACGGAGCCCGTACATTTGGGAGTATCCTATTAAAAAGGTACACTAGGACTACGGACTGGATATAGATGTAGAGAGTTAGTATTCAGGTGCGACATCGGAAGCTCGAAATGAGTGGCTGTGTTACCGGTTCAGAGTCCCCCAATTGTTCCACTCATCCTCACCTCGTCAGCATGACCATATCCCACTGTGGTGTATTGTTAGTTAATAAATGTCGCTTATAGTGAGCGAATGTATTTTTTTTTTTTAAATAACCATCGCTCCGAATATCAGATGGCGACCCTGCAAGGGGGCCATAGGAATGTGAATAATATACGGGACGCAATGCCGGGCCGAGTGTCCATAAAAACTAATTTATAAATAAATATTCTATAAAAGTGTTATATAGATATGAACTATACAGTGAAACATAATTATGTGAACAATGTACTATAAAATAAAATATATATTATAATTAATTTGAACACATACATTCGTCCCCAACATTATTATTAAATGAATAAACTATAAAATATGTTAGTGATATATAACGTTATATAAATAATAACGAACTATAAAAATGGGTGTGTTCGAGATAACCCCCGCATTACGCAAATCAAGAAGTGCAAAATAATTCAAATAACAGTTTAAACATTATCATAACTAATGAATATTTACTGATAACAATTCTAGTGATTCTTGGTATTTTATATTTTATATAGAAGACATGTCGAAAGAATTGTACAGATAAGAACATTGAGAAATCAGGTAGAAAAACTGACTCAAGAGAATAGCGGACTATAAAGTGATGATATAAAGCGATGATAATATAAAAAAAAAAAATATTGGAGAGCAGCCGGGAGAAGTTCGTGTCCAGTAGAGCTGCTGGGAGCTGTTCCTAACCTGTAGAGCTGCCGGGAATTTTTCGAGTCTAGGATCGAGATATGTTCGAGATAAAGCGAGATATAAAGTTTATTTAAAAGTGACGAAGTGAATTAATAACAGTATGTACTTAGTGAAATATAAGTTTTAGATGCGACGAGCCGGGAAGATGATTTTATAAAGCAGAGAAGATTCTATTAATTATATTGATATTAAGAAATTAATTAGAAAAGATTTATTTAGATTTACTAGGTCCTCTACCAAAAGATGAAAATGATAATGTATATGTACTAACGATGCAGTGTGAAATGTCTAAATATGTACTTGCTTTTCCGTTTAAAACAAAAGATACAATACCTGTAGCAGAATCATTTGTTAACAATTGTATATTAATATACGGATCCCGAATTGTATTGTTTCAGATCGAGGTACAGAATTTTTAAGTTCAACAATGAAAGAAATTTGTAAATTATTAAACATAGAAAAACTACATTCGACAGCATATCACCACGAAACAATCGGTTCATTAAAAAACACATAAAAATGTAAGATCATTTCTTAGAATACAAACAGAAAAGTCGAGATACGACTGGGCAAAATGGCTGCCGTATGGTCCTTTGCATTTAACACTACAGTACATACTGAAACAGAATACACACCTTACGAACTTGTTTTCGGTAAATTATGTAATCTACCATCATCAATAACTCATCATCCAATAGATGATAAAAATAGCTTGTGGCGACTGATACTTAGCGACATCTAACTCATCGCACTAACATCACCACAACAATCGATAGCGAGAAGGCTAGCATCGTCACAGCCATCGATAGCAAGACGAACTGCAATAAGTTTCAACAGCCAGTAACGAGATGGCGCTGTACCGATACAAACAGCATAAATTAATAACTAGAAGAAATTTAGAACAAAGAAACCTACGTCGCACAGAATAAGTTTCATTACCAATTAACATAAATAGAACGTCCAACCTATATCGGTTGGACCGCGGTCCCCGGGCTAACAACACCTAGCTCGGAGGGAGACAATTATCCTTTAGTCTCCCTGGCCAGTTGTCTCCATCATCACAGTAGGGACCACACATACAACCTTACGGTTCCTAAAAGCTCATAATCACGCAAGACAAAACTTAATAAAACAAAACAAAAGGAATCACGTAAACAAAAATATGACAAATCAATAAGACCACAGAGTTACAAAAAAGGATGATTTTGTTATTGATAAAAAATGAAACAAATGATAAAAGTCAGCCAATTTATTTAGGACCATATAATGAATCAGAGGACCTAGGTACAAATATCAGAATACAAAAAAGGTAACATACATGATATTATACATAAAAATCGAACAAAGTTATATAAGGAAAAATAACATTTGTTTTAAACATGTAAACAAATTTTTATAATGATATCATGATTTGAGCAATTAATGTTTACTAAAAGAACCTTTTTACTTAGAATAAGATAAAATAGAGCGTTCTATCTTAATTTCTAGTTTCATAACTATATAATTGCTCGAGCAACATTCACATAAAATATAAAATTAAATATATATCATAAAAATATAACTACATATATTATTAAATATTTATATAAAATAATATATTATACAAGCAAATATATTAAAAGTTAAGATTGATTATGATTAAATACTTAGACGTAATAACTCTATATTATTTGTTAAGATCATTCATTCTGTAACTTAGAATACTGACACAATGTTTTTTACCATAACCCCAGATTGTTTTGACTAGACATTCCAATGTATTAAGCTTCTGTCAATCGAAGATATTAAGTTATATTGTACCAATGTTAGGGTGAAAGTATAAAATTTTAAAAGATGAAATGTTACTAACGAATGAAATGTTTAAGGTTTATCATTTTTTTTTATATAAAGTTATTTATTGTAAGGGGTATGATGTGGTGTATTCTTAGTTAATAAACGTCGCTTATCGTGATCGAACGTATTTTATTTAAATAACCATCGCTCCGAATATCAGACCACCACATTATTACCCATGACTATCCAGCACAATAAACTGCACCAGACCCCCTCACATCTTGCAGCGGCCCTCTGACGGGACGCTTGACCGTTTCCGTTGAAATCCGGACCAAAGAGGGCGTGCTGCGTTGCGAAGGTACTAATGCCGACCCCGCTTCGCTCAACCCCCCAGTACTCCTTCATGCCCCCTTAAGGTGATCAACTACGCAGGCCTTAGCGTAGGAGTGGCTAGTTAGTCTATCCGCTGGCCCCCCACCCACCGATAGAAGCGAGGCTTTTGTCGGTCAGCCTAGGGAGTTTTGTAAGGAGGGGAGGATCAAGGTAGGAAATGTTTATCAGGAAAGGATCATGGGATACACAGGTATGAGGATTCCCTTTCCGTGTTAGAGTGCACTGGAAAGGTAGCGACAGATGATTTCGCTACTTGGATCCCAGGATTGGATAGTGTTGTGCGGTGCCTGTTAATGATTCCAAGTATTACCGAGGTGAACGACGTGGACGTACACCTGTCACTTACCGGTAGATATATCCTGCTCAACACCGCACACTTAAGCATATACTAGCCGTCCTTCACCCCTAAAATGAAGTCCATGTTTTTAATCTTTATTATCTTTATTTATTTACACATAGCCGCCATATTTGTTTTTTTTAACCTTAACTATCTAAGAACACTTTGGCTACTTAGACAAATCTAACGATATCTTAATTATCTAAATCCGTTCAGGGTAATAAAGAATATAACATACATACATGGTACGCCCGAAAAACTTAACCCTTCTTTTGCAGTCGGTTAAAAAATTGCTACAAATTTCAAAGCAAAAAAGCAGTGTTACAAATCAGGGTTATAACGTCACACGTGTTACGAATGCAATATCACATGTGAAGATGCCATTAGATGTTAAAATTTGGACAACTAATACACATTTACTCTTAGGATTTCGTTCGATATGTTGGTTTTTTGATATCAATATATATTTTTTTCAACGATATATATCAGCTATTAATTCATACTTTGCTTTGCTCTTTGTAGGGATGGGCAAATGGAAAAAAATATCGATATATATCGTATTGATATTTTCCAAATGTATCGATCAATATCGACTAATTTGATATAACTAAGCAGATATATCAAAATATCGATATTTTCTGCGCAATAAGCGAGTATCTATTAAAAATATCAAAATATTCGAAATTTTAAAGCAAATACACACCTGGCTGATTCGACATCAGTTTTATTATTCAAAATAGGTGCCAAGAAAACAACATCATTAACACAACAACTATGACATAATTCAAACTAGTATTTGTCTGATATTGACATCAGGAGCACTCTCAGTGATACCAACCAAATCAACTAGCAGTGTCAAAGACAAATAGTCATGGGCTGTATTTTTTTTTACTGTTTGAAGCAAAAAACTATACCCATTCAACCTACCTACACTTTGTATAAATTAAAGAAATACATGATGCGACGCATGAGCAATCAGCAGAAATAAAAAAAAAACATCGATTTTGATACGAATTTGATATCTGAAAATAAATTTCGAAAGCCGATATATCGCGGGAAAAATATTGCTTATTTATATCGTTTTTTTTAGAAAAATATCGATATTTTGATAAATCGATATTTATTGCTCATTCCTAGCTCTTTGAGCATCTTTGAGAAAAAGCATTACATTATGATGAGCGTAATGAGGTTATTTTAGGAAAAAGAAAGAAAATACTGTTTAGAAAAATAAAATGTTTTCCTTATAACGTGCAATGGACTATATAATTTTCTTGGAATAGGAATATACGTGTTACCATTTAGAATGTTTAGACAGTTTATACGAGCTTTAGAACCGGTCAAGAACAGACTGGTAAGTTAGACTAAAGTTATATATTATTAAACCCTTCTTTGCCATAATGCCTTTATGATGAATTGACTGATATTGTACGATGTTCACGCAGACACGAGCCGTTGCTGGTTCGAGCAATGGAGCAGCAAAAAGCGATAGTAACAACTTTGCACGTAACAGCCAGACGAAGGAACAAAAACTATCAAGCACATTAAAGAATTCCCTACCAGGGATCACATACATCAGTATAGAAGATATATCAGGAGGATGCGGTGCCATGTATGAGGTGATTTTTTTGGCCATTTTCTTCTATAATTAGCATATATTCAACGCAATAAATTAATTAAACTAAATCATATATAATCCTTAATCTAGTGCAAAGTAATTTTTTTTTCTTCTGAGAAAAAAGATAGAATTTATTCCTTTTTGTTCCCACATCATTAGGTTTTAGAGATAACAATTTTTAATTATTATTTTTATTTTTTTTATTTAGATTAGTAAACAATTAACACAATTTGTATTTATTGCTAAGATTAAGAGATTAGATTTAATCACTGTGAAACCCACATTGTTTCCCATGGGTTTATTGATGTAATAATAATAATAATTATGCTACTTCATATCTTAAATTTTCAGATTGATACATTATAGTCAGCCCTGTAAATTGCTAATGCACTGGAACTTTGTCTAATAACACCAGCATGAAGTCATATGAAAATAGAAAGTAAAGCACAAAAGGCTAGAAATGAATAATTGAAATATTTACAAATAACCTCCAAAATATTTTTAAAATCATTTAATTACTTTTAGTTTGTTAATTTATTGTACATATTTTTGGATAAGAATCAATTTATATGTAAATATTGAGGTTTATAGAAAACAAAATATGAATAAAATAATATTTAGTTACTTTGCAATAATGCAATAACTAAAGGAAAGGACATTATTTTAAACATAACCAAAGTAATAATGAAATGAGAGACATTAGTGTTATGTATGAATATATTTTAATTGAAATACCAACAGGTTATCTTGTTAAAGAATAAGATTAATATATGTGGGTAGTTAGTTCACTTGGCACTTTTTTCTGTCTTGTCATTGTGCAGGCTACATAGCTTAATAAATGGAATTACTTAATTTCGTGTTTTAATGGACATAATAATTAGATATATTTATAATCATTGAAATTATGTTTACTTATTGTGAAAATCATAGTTGCATTTGTTTTTTTTTATTAACCATAACAAGTTAAAACAAACCTTAACAATAGCAATTGAAACTTTCAAAAACAACAAAAATTATGTGTGATCTCAACACAACACAATAAGTGTACTTGTCCACCAGCATTTATTTGTTAACGGTACTGATTTTTATATGCAATTACGTTATCAAAATGCAGGCTATGTGCATTAGCAATTAATGGAAGTTAAACATTGACTCTGTACCTAAATGAATATAATCTGAATAAATATATCTTATATTTTGTTTCAGATCAACATTGAAGCTAAAGAATTTAGGGGTCTTTCAACTGTAAAACAGCATCGCCTAGTCACTGAAAGTTTAAAAAGTGAAATTGCTGAAATGCATGGAATCCGTATTCATACTACACCAACAAAAATAGATGATAAATAATAGTCACTGCAGTGATTCAAAGAAGTAATTTCCCTAATTCCCATGTTAGAAAATATTAGTGATACTAAAAGATATTTTGTTGCTAATAAAACTTTTCTAGTTGTGTTGTTACTTTAGAATAACTTACTATAATTTCACCCTATTTTATCTGTGCCACTTCAGGGTTTGAGTAGCAGTGCAGAAAGATAGTCACAGGAAAGTGGTGACACATTTGTTTTAGAAATAAATAAGCATTAGGCAATGAGGGTGTATGTAAAAAAAATATATTAGTTTCCGAAATTCAACTAGATGTCACTACAGTACGTTCTTGATTTCTCCATAACAACCTTTCCAGGTTTCTTTCATGTATAAAGCCCGTTACACACGTAGCCATAATATACAGCGTGTTTGGTAATACCTGTATAATCCCGAATATGGCACATACGGTATGATGAATAGAACCCAGAAAAATGATCACTAAGTCTGAAACCCAGCACATGACCTAGATATTTAGCTTTTTGTCTTCGAAGTAAAACTGTACGCTGACGACCCTAAAAACAGCTGTTGTGTTGTATTTGGTCATCGACTCCATGTGCCGAACTAGTTTAAAAAATAACAGAAGTTAAATAAATCTAAAGATAAATGCCTAGAATAAATATGCATCCGAGAGTAATTTATTATTTCAAAACAAGGAAAAAGTTAGTAGTAAATTACTTTTAACCATAAAAGTACACCAATCTTGTGATTACCGGTGTTTCAAAAACTATTATAAAGAAAACTTCTCTAATAATACAGTCAAAATAAATTGCACAACAAATCGCAAATACTTTGATTGAAGTTAGATATCTGCATTATTGCTCACATTATTCTATGCAAGAAGGAGCGACAGAGACATAAAATCGACGACGATGTGTATTGAGAAACTCGGGTTTCTGATGTGTCAGTAAGGTTCTGTAGATTGCTTTGAAGTTTTGTTATTTTTTTCATAAAGCAGTGTTATTTTCACGAAACAATAAAATACGGACTTATACAATGATATTAATAATCTAAATATCTCGCTTATTCTTAGTTTAAATGATAATTAAATAAAGGTTAGTTGTAATGGAAAGGTCTAATAATAAATAATATTTCTTTTCTTTTCTAATTTAATCAATAATTTTTATGCCTTATAATTTTGTTAATGACTTGGTCTTAAATTAAGTAACCACTTTTAATATTATGGCCTTTCTTTTCTTTTGTAACCGTGAAAAGCGTAAATAAAATTGTAATAATAAGTAAACAGCCTATTTATCAATTTCGTCAGTAAAAAAAAAATAGTATAATAAGTTTCATTGAAATTTCATTGTTTAATTAAATAATAAAATAACGATTTTTTGTTAGGTAGGTTACCTAGAGTCTGGCAAGCGAAACGTGTCACAAGAAAAGGGCGGCAATTTCAAAAATTCTTAAGCAGTAAACACTGAATGTAGTACTGCAAAATAATTTTGATACTTTTATTAATTATATTTAATCTTAACATTTAGATATCAATTAAAATTATTTGTTTTGGAACATTTGACTAAAGCGTGACTGTTCTTAATTGTACAGTTAACAGCATATCAGTAGGCCTATTCACTAACTCAACTGACAACCAAGAATTGTCATCACCGTAAAAAATAGACACTTTGATTGTGTCAAAATCACTATTTCGTATTCTCTATCAATAATGAGCAATTTCGAAATGTCAATATCGGCATTCTCCACTGGACTCCATTTTGACACTTGATTTCGTATCGATAAACTGTATTAAAGTAACATTGTTGCAAAGCATATTTGAAGTCGTCGCATAGTACCTCTTAAGCCATTTGTTGTTAAATTAAAGCGAAAAAAAATACGTATCCAATATTTTTCTATTATCTGACTGACGGACTAAATCGAATCTTTTTTTTAACCCATTCGTTATACCTATTGGCTAACAGCACTTATAATATTAAAAATTCATATTTGTCATTAATTAAAAGGGTGTTTTTTACAACGACTTCTTTGTTTTTTTGTAATGAATATGGGCGACTCTGGCCACATTTTTTTAATAAATGTGATGTTAGCCAATTTTGATTTCTGGCCCTTATATTTATAATGTGTTCATAACACATACATGTCTCCTAAGGGTTCCTTGGGTTTAAGTCACAATGATACGGTGGCAGCAATAAAAGTTCATGATTATGTTCTTTTAAAATCTCTTCAGCTTCATATACAGGCAATGTTTTCTTATCATTAACCAAACACATTAACTCTGCCTTTGTCTGATATTCCTCAAAATGTATTCCATTATTTACAAGCCATTTACGGATATCTGCTTTGGTATTAGACATTATAGGCGGTTTATTGATTTGTTTTATATGGTAGCTGGCATTATCCATAACAATTACACTGGGCTTACTTAAATTTGGTATTAATTTTTCTCTGACCCATTTCATAAAGTTCGATGAGTTCATATCATCATGATAATCAGCAGATTTGGATTTACTACTGAACACTAATAATGCACCAGGCACAAAACCTTCCTCAGATCCAGCATGCACAACAATATGCCGTTTTCCAGAGGATATCTTTGTAGTGACACCAGTTGTTGAAGGTCCTTGCCAAGACTTTTTAACTTTATAATTCTGATGTACATAAGTTTCATCAAGGTACACAATTTGCTTTCCTTCGTTTCGTTTTATATTTATTTCTCTCAAATACTTGTGCCTCCATGCAGAAATCTGGTATTTTTCTATAAGCATAGAACGTTCATTTTCATTGCTTTTAAAAGAAAATCCATTCTTAAGCATAATTTTTCGTAAAGTCTCACGGCTACCACTGAATCCTATTGCATCTTTTAATTCATTGTGAAGGCTTCTTAATGTTGGAACAATTTTTTTCACACAGTAAAATTCATTTACTTTATTCCGAATTGCACTTAAATCAAAATTATCTAAAGCAGACACTGTTGGTTGATGAGGTCGTTTTTTCCCAGGAGTGTCCCATTTTCCTTTATTAATTAATGCTTCATTTTTTATCCTTCTTAGTGTCCTTATACTTACATCTATAAAAGATTAAACACTTTGAAACAAAGATATGTTAAATGTATTTAAAAGCAAATAATGATAGACACATACATCAAAATAATTTAAATACCTATTCAACTATGAATGCAATTTATGTTTAATTTAGTTAAGTTTATGTGCATATTTAGCATGTATAACAATTACATGGTTTGATTAGTTTCATGAATTCTGTGAATTTCCTTGTTAAACAAAACATTCTTATGACATCATTGGATGTCAACAATAAAAACCAATACATCATAAAAAACCTATGTAAATATTATAGGAATACTATCAATCTATCTTAAATCAAAACAAGAAAAGAGACCTGTCATTGAAGAAATTTTTTGTAAGTACTGCGTTTCCGTATTCAGCATTTCTTGTTTTTCTAAAGTTTTTATTGCATTTATCTCCTCCATTATTGGTTGAATATCACCATCACAGTTATCTGAAATAGAGCAATATTTTATAAAAAATATCTGTTTAGTTAATTACAGAAAATTAAAACGAAAGTATCAAAATTATAATACAAAACTAACCTAAAAAAGATACAACTTTATCTAATCGTTGTAATTTCTCCATGAAATTTTTATTTAATTCAGTTTTCACTTCAGTAAACTTGTCAATCATGATGGAAAGAAGTTTCCTCGATGAACTTTTTATCGGCTTCGACATAATTTTTAACCAAAAACACAAGTTCAAATTCGCAAAAACAACAAAATTCAATATTCTTGAATTGTCTAACGTAGTGTCAAACTGACAGTTCTATGTTGTTGCCATATGAAAACGGAAAAATAGGTGGTGTCACGTTTCGCTTGCCAAACTCTAACACAGAATTTGATGACGCGGAACCCTAAATCGGTGCACTTTTGATTTAGGTACCTACATTGGTGTTCGAGTTGTAATAATTACCTATGTAGTTTTGGTCATCGCTTCAGTCGCGTCGGAGACTTTCATCGGTGTATTTGTGAGTTTTCAGAATTTAGAAGGTCAACTTACGTTTTCGTTCTTTCGGGACTTTTAGTTTGTTTTTCATACTCGTTCTGCTTACCTGTGTGTTGTGTTTGACCGCACGTCAGTGCAATGAGTTCGTACTTAAATGCCTAATATTACGAGATGATATTGTGTGTTGGTGCTTGTGACGGTAATCTTGCTGCGGCTCGGCGGCTTTATGACGAGCGCCACGTGTCAGGAAGATCTGAAAACCCTCGACGTCTTCTTTCTTAACAGTGTTTCGCGGCACTTGTGAATCGGTTACATACAATTGGTTCATTCCATAGTGTGATACAGGAAGGCCGGCCGAACGATTTTACGTCGAGAGTAACACGGTCTGTGTCGAATCGAATGGAGATGTGTGTTTTATGCGGTGGCCGGCATTTCGAGACCTTGGACTGATAAAGTGGAGGTGAAGTGTAGGTAATGTTGACAAATGAGAGCTGAGAGAGTGATTAGAACGCTGCCTCTAGGTATGTACCTGTTTAATCTTAAATTGTTTTAATTACAAGTAAACTCATACGCAGTCAAGTGCGCGCGTCGGCGAAATCAAAGTGTATTCTAGGAAACGAGAGAGAGTGAGACGTAATCTGTGTGTGTGAGAGAGAGAGTGAGTAGGGTAAAGTGTTCAACAGTGGATCACTTTTTTTCCAGAGGCTGTAGCTCAGCTCTAAATTGAGTTAGAAAGACGAAAATTGAGATAGTAGGTAGGAAATGTAATCTAGTTTAATATAGGTGACTTGTTTTTATGAATAGCGTTAAAAATAATACTATGTATACACTTTTTTAAAAAGTCAAAAATGAGCCACTGTGTACACTGGGTGTTGAACAGTGGCTCGCCCTAATGTTCACAGTGGATCGGGGCAGTAACAGTGGATAATTGATTCTAAAATGAAATAAAAAACTGTAGTATCAAGTTTTTAATTAAGTATTTGAACTCTTAGGTACAATATGTAATAAAATCAGTCACAATATTAGAGATCACAATAATATCTTCTTCAACTCTTCAAATAAACATCTTCAACATTAAAAAAAAGAAATAAAATATTAATAAAATAATTGCAATGCAATTACAACCTACATTGCAACATTAAATGCAAATGGC